TGCCCGAGTGCATTTGAGACTCAGCCATAGTTTTGACCATAGGTTCCCGACCCTGTAAAGCCAGTTGTTTTTCTCACTGCTGTGTGAGAATGTTTGTTTAGCCGTAGTTAGTCTGAACTACGCAAGGCTCTGATCTTCCATCCAGTGGAAGTACGTAGGCACAAGACGCGAGGTCTTGGCGAGCCAATTTTCCCTGTAGTCCCGAACTACGTTGACTCTGACTTTCTCTCTTGAGAATACGTAGGCATAGAGTGCGACGCTCTATCGAGTCAATTCCCTTCCGTTTAGATTTAGCAGCCGTAGATAAGATTGTTTTGTATCCAGTAGACAACCCAAGCAAGCGTGGATCCCGTCGAGTACGACGGACGTGAGGGGTGCTAATACCTTCCCCTTGCGTAACCGACTCCCGAACCCAGGCTATGGTTGCGATGACCATACCTTTTCCCCGTTTTTTGCGAGGTTTACTTCGAGCGTTTCCTTTCCCGCTCTGAGGGATAAATAACGCACGGTGGCGACTCTTCTGTCAGCCGGCGCCGATTTTCGCAGTAGCGACAAGTAGCTATTGACTTTGGCTCGCTGGGGAGTCTCGCCAGGCGAAGGCCTAGCGAGTGTTCGCTGAGAGGGTTCTCCAGGCGAAGGTCCAGCGAAGGTTCGCTGCGAGGCCTCGACAGGCGAATATGGGCGAATTTGACAGCATCTTTTCTTTGTTGTGGTTTCTATGTGTTGACAATTTAGTTGTTTCACATAGACTAATACCTCTACATTTTGAGTATGTGTGTGATCTATTGTGATGATATGTGCTGTGGGTAGCCTACGAGCGTGAATCCTAGAATTGTGATTTGAATGTTAATTGCATCAAGTATAAATACATGTGAACATAATAGGTGATTATGTGTGTATTATTTAATGAACTTGTGAATGCTTGATGTGTATACAATTATGTGATGAGTATGCATGAGAACATTGTGAATATGTGTGCATAACTTGTAATTGTATGATTGGTATTGTGATGTGAATACCTTGATTGTTGTGATATATGCTGTATGTGCAATCATTGTGTAATTCTTGAAGAGATGAATTATTAAATGCATGAGATTAAGATGCGAGAACGGTCTTAAGTGCATTGTTGTGGTTGATTGCATATGCATCATTTAGTCAAGAGGCAATGTCTGTTAGTTTCGTGGAAACTAGTGGCTTGTCCCAAACCTAGAAGAGTGGGTTTGAAGGCTTAGAGGACGGGCCTTTGTTGTTATCGGTCTAGAAGAGTGGACCCGGTTTAATGTAAAAACCGAAAAATGATAACGGGTTATTGGTCTAGAAGAATGGACCCGGTTTAATGTAAAAATCGAAAAATGATAACGAGAGTCGGTACCGCATTGCATGAGTTGCATTGAGTTGTTGAGTCACATTAATATATGACATATGCATGAAGAAATGCTTATGTGTGAATGATAAGATTGTGGAAATGTGAGTGTATGCATGATGTGGGAATGCTTTGTAAATATTCATGTTGTCTATATATGTGTCGTAAATATATATGACTAAGAGGGTGAATTGTGGTGAGAAATATGGAGTTGAATTATATGATTACATTTATATATATATATATATATATATATATATATATATATATATATATATATATATATATATATATATATATATATATATATATATATATATATATATATATATATATATATATATATATATATATAATCTTATGCTTTGATTATTATGGTTATATTTCTCACTCTTCTGCTGTTTTATAATGCTCTACGAGGCATTGCAGATTAGGATGCTGGAGTCTTTCTTTTGTGAAGTATATCTTCATTCTTTCGAGTCGGACTGCTCTGATTATGTAACACCGAGTAGTTAGGCTGGTATAGTATTCTTTTGTGATACATTGCGATGTATCAGCTGATGTGGCTTTGTAATTACCTGACATGATGTATTAATCTGGATATCTTATGTGTATGTGAATTAATATTTTGGAAATGATTAAATGATTTTATCTTCCGCTTAAATTTTAATGTTGAAATGTGATTTCTAAAACCATGAAAATGTTACATATTTTATGGAGCAAATGTTAAAGTGTTTCATTGGTGAAATTGTGACATTCTTCCTTTATACCTTATTCTAAAATTTTCACTCTGATAAATTTGTATATGCATTTATTTGGGGGTATAGAAGGGGGTGTTACATTAGGTATTTGGTTTTTTTTGGGTTGGAGCTCTTTGCCTTGTGTTTTGGGCTTTGGTCTTAGACGATAAAAAAAAGACTCGGAGCAAATCTTATTTTATGTATTTTTCAATCACCCATTATCCCATAGATACCTGGGTTTTTCAACCAAAACACATGAATCAAGAAAATCTAACGGGTGTTTGAAATAACTTATATTGCGTACACTCGATTATTATTAGACTACCAAAGCATCTTTGACTTTTCTCGTGGACATATTATTATTAGACTACTGAAGCATGAAAATGTGTTTGGAAGCAAGTGAACGTAAGATAATTTTTTTTGAATAATGATTCAAAATGGTAAAGAATAATAAGGTGGTTGATGGATAAATTGACTTCATCACGATTTTAAATCAATATAGAGATTGTTGAAATATGTCTTAAAACCTCATGTATTCAAAATGGTAGAAGTAGTAAGATGGTTGATGAATAAATTGACTTCACGATTTTAAGTCAAGATGGAGATTTATGAAGTATGTTTTAAAATCTCAAGTGATGAAGAAAAGATTTTTGTGAGACAATTGGCTTTTTAATCAAATACTTAATGTTAGACTCTGTAAATGATCACCGATTGACTCATTCAGTGGTCGACTGATTGCTCAAAGGTTTAATTGGTCCATTGATGACTTGAGAGGTTCGTGAGTATCATATTTTATCATTTTGGTTTGTAGATCTATTCATTAATTTTAAATATTGTAAATAAATTTATATTAACTTAAAAATACTTTAGGATTATGTTTTTGAAATTTGAAAAATCTTTGAAGATATTTAAGGGGATTGAAAAATATTTCTAAATACTTTGAAGGTATTTAACGGGATTGAAAACACTTCTAAATACTTTGGACTTGTGTGATGCTTATATAGAGAGTTGGAAAGATTAGAAAATATTTGGATAGAATATATGGTATGTCCTTAAACTTTTGGGTGATTATTTCCTCATAACTCTTTCGTAATCTTTTGTAATAATTTTTGAAAGTATAGTGAATCAGAAAGTTTCTTTCTTTTTCAGAATAAGATCGTTTGATCGAATTGGGTACAAAAATATTATGTTTTTTTGTCTTTTATCTTCTTCTGAATTCTTGTGGATTTACTTTAATTTTTGACAAGTTATTGTTGCTCTAAACTATTTATTTTTGTTACTATTGTTCTTCGTCCTCATTAATAAAAAAATTTGTGTGTTTGAATTTTGAACAATTATTATGAAGTGTTTTGAATTGTCATGTCAGTTCTTTATGAAGAAATATTTTCTCCCATGACTAAGATGATTATAATTTGGACACTTATTACCACTACATTTGTTCGTTAGAGAGTTCTTTTTTTTAAAATGGATTTTAAAAATGCTTTTGAAATGGTTCTTTTAAAAGGAATTTATATGGAACCTTTATCAAGTGTTTCTTCTAATATGAAGAAAATGATAAATTGAAGAAACTCTTATATGGTCTGAAACAAGCTCTACAAGTTTCATTTGAAAAGTTTTATGTTGCGATTACATATTTTGGATTCTACTCTTGTGAGATTGGTTCTGATTTATTTATCAAGGCTACTTTTTATGGTCATATTCTACTCTCTTTATATGTTAATCACATGGTTATTGCATGTGATGATGTTGATGGGATTGATGACTTGAAATTACAATTAGCTAAAAAATTTGAGATGAAGGATTTAAGAAATCTTTCATAATTCTTGGAAGTTGAAAGTTTCCTACTCTATTAGATGTTATCTTCTCTCTCATCTATTTTCAAATTAATGGAATGTGAAAATTGAACTCACACCCACGCTAGGCATGATGTTGGTATTAGTAGAGACAACAAAATGGACCCGACCTGTTGGGCATGTCCATTTTATCCGCACTTTAGTGCGGGGCATGCCAGGGGTTTAGGTTCTCACTCTTTAATGGGTTTGTCCCGCCCCCTTCATCCCCCCTGTTTTCTTTGCGACTTTTGCGGGGCACAAGCGTTTACATAAATTTTTGCGTTTTAAGCTTAAAAAGGTGTAGTGCTTGTGAGTTTTTCCCACCTCGCCTTCACTTTTTTACAAGGCGGACCTAGGTTTTAGGTCGCGTCCTCAACTATGCGCACCCTCCCCGCCTCATTCCTTTTACAAGCTTTTATCGCCCTGTCCTCACTTTTTACAAGGTGGATCTAGATTTTAGGTCTGCATTCTCAACAATGTCCACATTCTTTGTCCTGTATTTTACAGGCTTTTGTGGGATAAACTTAAACGGAACGGACTTTTACAAGCTTTTCTCACCCTGTCCTCACTTTTTAAAATGACATATATAATTAAATATTGAATAGGTGTAAAATCCAAATTTAGAATTTATTTTCAGGTTGATTTTTGAAAAGTTTTGAATGGAAATTTTGATATATATTTAAATTTATAAAAAACAAAAAAGGAAAAAACACCGAGATACATTCGAATATAACTTCAAGCACATCGATGATACCGTTCTGTCTGCCTCAGTCGCTGTCCTCCTACCCTCTGGTTCGTATCACTTTCATCCCTTCTTCTTTCTTCTTAACTCCTTTCTCACCATTCTATCACTTCATCATTTTCATTTCTACTCATTTATTATTGAATCACAATTTCTAATTTATTCTAAAATACACAATTCTCTATCTCTCATTACGATTCAATCAAGAATTGGGTTCCGCTATTTTATTATTCTTGCTGCTTCATTCATAGTTGAATGGTTTCTTTTGTTCATATTGTGTGCAGCACCGCGTGAATTACAACAACAGCGACTGAAGTTGCGAGATGGGGGAAATTTGGTGGTCACTTTTGGGGGCAGCAATCCCTGTGGTTATTGCAGGACAAGCTTTTAGACTGAAGAAAAAGAATGCGGAAGAGCAGAGATTAGCGAGCGCCAGGGGAAGAGAAAGGAGTTCCGATGAGATTTTCGTCTGCGAAAAGGTCTGTACTTCAAAGAGGATGTTGAAAAAGGTTGGTTCTTTCTCAAAAGATCCCATTCCTGATACTTGTGTTACTGTCTGTGGTGTGTCTGATCTTGATGCTTGTGCTGATGCTTGTGCCCGCACTGTTTGCGTTAACCAACATCAAGTGCCTAGCTGGAATGACATATGTCTTAGGAGATGCCAGAATGAATGCCTTAAACTGTCGTCTCAATCTTCTTAGAAGTTAGTTACATTGTTTAGGCGATAGAATATGTGCTTATGTTGAGTTTTGTTATGTTGGTTAATGTTTCGGCTCATTACGCTGCCAACTCCTGAATCCAAATTTATTATAAACGATTATCACAGGCGTTACTTAAAAGTTAGGAGTTGTTTGTGTAGTACTTTTATTGTGTCTATTTACAATTTTTAATTTGTGTTATGTGGATGAATACTTTATTTAGTAAAGCTAACTCGGGAGGATTTGAGTCTGCTCTCGCCGGTTTAGGTTTTTAACAACTAAGATCAGGTATATAGTTCATTGTACACCCTTGGACTTGACACTTATAATGAAAATCTAATGTACTATCTAGAAAGCTAGAAACACTGAAATGGGTGGATGCTTAGCTTAGCATAAGCACTTTCTCGAGAGTTCTTAGACAGGTATCATTTTATTTTGTCGTCAGTTTAGTGATAAGGTATTAAGGTTCTTTTCTTCTTGAGTGAATATTGGATTTCTAGTTTTGAGAGGATTTGATCAATGATAAACTTGTTCTAGAGTATATGAGGCTGTGTTTGAAGAATATCAAAATCTAAGCACGGTGGTTGAAGAAGAAAATCGATTTACAAATAAGAGATTCATTCACAGAGTGCTTATTCACCAGGCAACACTTCTTAAAACATCTAACAAGTACAAGCATTTGTCCCTCTATGTAGTATTTCAAATATATAGAAGTAATACTGTTACGGTAGATGATAACTTAGGCAACATAGTACATTGGATTTGGAAGTTTGAATACTCTTATACCGCTAGGATTCCCCTCAAAGCTACTGAATTGGTCACCTAAGATTCCCCAAATGCGATAACCATTAGTACTACTTAAATCTTTTCTCACTTGAGACTTGTATTCTGCCACTGACGCCAATTCATTAGCAGGATCTCTGCAATGGAAGGAAAGGGATTTTAGTTTGGTTATGAGAATCAAAGAAAAGATAAGAATTAGATAAATAGATAAAGAGAGTAAGAGTTAGGTTTTACTAACCGTAAAATAAGACTTGTCCACCCATAGTAACCGACATTGACAAGGTTATCAATTGTTGCTGATCTGAGATACTCTCTTCTTCCAGAAATCAAAATGATCTGAATTCCTCTTGATTTAATCTCATTGAAGAGCCTCAATGAGTAATCAAGAGCCGGGGCTTTACCCTTGCTCATCCATTCCTCCAAAGCCGTCACGTTAATTTTCTTTCCCCTATCGTCAATAAAAGCCTCATCAGATTAAACAATATCAAATCAGCAGTAAACAGTTATTAACATAAAATGATTAGTAGACTAAGATAGATTCTGAATAATCCATACAGATTATTCTTGTAGAAAGGAACTGTAGAAAGAAGAGTATCATCAATGTCGAAAATCCAAGCATCTTGGCCATCTTTCTTCAGATTGCAGCTAGTACTAAGATAAACCAGACATTCTTCAGTTGTCCTTTCTGAGTCCACACTGTATTGAGTAGATCTGACATATTTACCAATGTATTCGGTGCATTCTTCCGGCACAACTTGGAAGTCTCGAATATTATGCAGCTCGACATTCATTCTCCAACTTTCACAGTAATTCTTCAAACTGATCTTCAGTCCATTGCGTGTCTTCTGATTTAATATGTTCCAGTCTGCAGCAACTGTTACAGGAACCAAAAAACATATGAAAACTAAACAGCAAACAAGGGATCTCTCCATTCTTGAAGAAAAAACATGTAAAGATATGGAGAATATTGGGAAATAAATGCACCCAAATATATATATATTTTTTTGGGGCAGTAGATCCAGGTCACACATCACATGGGTCTGAGGGCACATAGTGCTACAAACGTTCATGTGCACCATCATCACCATGCTGTCATGGTTGACAAAACCAAAAATCTTAAATTTAAATAGAATTGTTTATTATGATCTGAAACATGTGTTGTCATGAGGCCGGAGATCATCACATCTGACTTTAGGAACAACCACACAAGTAAGGGAAGTATTACATTATTAACTCAAAACCTTAAGGCATTAGATTTATGGGTCTTCTTACTTATTAAGTGTTCAACGTTCATTTTTTCATCCGATGTGAGACTCGTACTCATATTTGATATGCCAACATCATGCCTATGAGATGCTTCAAACTAGCATATAAGATGACAAGAATAACATGCTTGCATTTTCCTGTCACAGATCACAGATATGTTTATCTGTTGAATCACATGTCCAATGTTCTAAATTTGTTTAATATTTCCATTAAAATATGAACCAGCTCAGATATGACACAATGTTTTTTTCTTTTAAGATTTTAGCTTTTTTGTAGTGCATGGATTTCTACTTTTTAACCTACTTTGAAAGCAATAATTCAAGAGTTTGAACTTCATTATAAAATATTTTAACATTTAATGTTAAAATTGTTTTATTAGTTTTTTTCTTTAATTCACTGTCGGTATAATTATTTGAGAAATGCACGAATGCCTTTCAGACACTAGTTAAGAGATTAAAAAGACTAAAAATACATGTTTCTTTTAATAATATATGTATTCATTAATATAATAGTATGATAGTTAGCATGACCCTAATTATTTTTCATAATGCATTGGAATTATTTATTACTCATTCATTAATATCATAGTTAGCCACCAAAAGTTCAGTAATACTAATAGAGTTGCCAGTGAACTTCACTTTGATTGACATCCACATAAACAAATCAATAAATACAACTTTTGAAAGAAACATTGAAATAAAAAGTATATTTAAAATAGTGAAGAAAACAAAAGGATTTTATATGCAAACTTAACAAGTCATATCACATATCTCAAATGGTTTTACAAGTTTTTAGGTGTTTTAGAGATTTTGTTACGACAACTCTTAACACACTCTTTTCCGTCTATACTTAGATATGTGGAGTATGGAAATAGATGGCGGATACATTTTAGTAGGTGGCATATTAGATCTTAAATCATACTCTTGATATTATGTTAAGAAATCTGGTTGAAATTAACTCAATTCTATAAAATCAACTTATAAGATAAGGATCGACTCCACTTATAGACACATGTTTAAGTCATATACGAGTAAATGTGAGACTTTTAATATCTAACATTTCCCACTATGTACGATTTTACCAAAATATTTTTAATAAAAATTTGAATTTTCAAAAAAACTTAGTGGTTGTTCGGATTTTTTAATTAATATACCGATTTTTTTACAAAATTCTTGATTTTTGAGTTTTTAGTTCTTTTTGAATTTTTTGTAATATTTAACGGATTTTTGAAAAGTAAGCATAAATTTTAAAAAAAAATTTAAAAACAAATGTATAATCATAATTTGTATTCAAATATCGATTTTATATTTATTGTTTTCAAAAATCAGGTATGAATTCATATTTTTTATGCTGAATTTTAAAATATTTTTTCACTTTTTTGAAACACAAATTATGATTTTATATCGGCTTTTCAATTAACCGAAAAAATACGAAACAAATGTCAAAAATGCAATTTTGTTATCATTTTTTTATTGGCCTATCAGATATGAACTATCAGATTTTTGAAAAATCTAAAAAATTACAAAAATACCAAATTCAAAAATATATATAAAAAAACCTGGTAGTGTTAACATGACTTTATCTGAGTTTTTTTTAAAGTTTTGGTAAAAACGCATGACAGATTTTTTGGTTGGCCTATCGGATTTTCGCGTGAGAGAGAAAAAAATTTAAACATGATTTGCATGTATCAGTTCCATCCCAAAATGTGTCTGTTTTGCCAAATCTTAGAAGGTCAAGTAGAACACATAGACCTCTTACTAGCTTGCAAGATTATGTGTGTTATACTCAGTACCCTCTCACTCAGTCCCTCGCATGTGACTGGCTTTCAAATCCTTACAAAAATTATGTCTTTAATGTCTCATCCATCTATGAACACAATTTTATCATCAATCATCTAATATACCTGGGTGGTGTAAGGCAATGTCTAAAGAAATAACAGCACTAAATGCTAATCACACTTGGATAGTTTAAGCACTCCCACCTGGTAAGAAAACCATTGGATGTAGATGGATCTACAAAACCAAATTCAACGTCGATGGTTCTTTGGACAAATACAATGCTAGATTGGTTTGTAGGGTGATGATTACCCTTATTTATAAATTCATGTTTAGGTTATATGTTGTCCGATATGAAACTCTTAACACACTCTCTCACGTCTAAGACTAGACATCTGGAGCGTGAAAGTAAATGGTGAGTGGTATGATAGCGCAAACTATAGTAGGTGGTAAATTGGATCTTAAACCGGACTCTTGATACATGTTAAGAAATGTGGTTGGGCCTAACTAAACCTACAAAACCAGCTTATAAGGTGGGGATTGCCCCCACTTATAAGCACATGATTAAGCCTTATATTGGCCAATGTGAGACTCTTAATATCTAACATCCCCCACTATGTACAATTTTACCAAAATATTTCTAATAAAAATTTGAATTTTCGAAAAAACTTAGTGGTTGTTCATATTTTTTGATTAATATATAGATTTTTTTTTTTTACAAAATTCTTGATTTTTGAGTTTCTTTTAGTTTTTTTGGGTTATTTTGTAATATTTATCGGTTTTTTTTAAAACGGATATAAAAGCATAAATTTTAAACATTTTTTAAAGCAAAAATATACACTGGGTTCTTTAAGTTATTTTGTTGTAACAATGCAGTCCTTTATGTTTATTTCGCTACAAGTTGGTCATTTTTGTTAACTAATGTGTTCCCCCGTTAAACTTTTTCACAAACTCCGTTCCAAAAAAGTTTATGTGGTACTAACAACATTGATGTATCATTTAGCAGTGCTGAATAAGTATTTGTTTTATTATTTCTTATAAATAAATAAGCAAAAAGGGCTAATTCCGTTGATGTGTCATTTCACCTCTCTCTCTCTCTCTCTTCACCACTCTTCCTTTTTTTTCTCTCAACACAAACAAATTAGAAACACATTTTCAACTCTCTCTTGGATTAAAGCA